TATACCTTCCCAGCAAAAAATACAGTAATCTTAAAAATTCAATATATATCGGTTGTATGCATAATTTAACGGCTGGCTATTATTGAATATTATAACAAAGATGTTAATTTTACTGATTTAAATAACTTCAACCTCTTTTTATAATTATTGACAGCGTATTTATAAATATTCTTAATAGCGGTTAAAAACTTTTGGCTGGGAATTTGCCATGAATCCAACTGCTAAAAACAAAAATCTGACATATATAATCTGCATATAGACAGAAAAATGTTTCATAACCTGTCAATCTCCAAACAATATGTTGTTTAAAATCGGAATATAAGACATTTTACAGATATCATTAAGACATCTTGTACACGTAACATCATAAGACGTCTTATAAAAGGTACCCTATATTTATATTTTGGACAGCGTGTTGTCTGGAACGCACATAAAATTTTAAAAAATTAATAACTTGAAAACGAATCAGTCAATTGATCCAAAATTTATCACAGGTTTTCATGGTATATAAATGCACAACTTCTGTAAATTTCAGCTTTTTCCCTCTATTTTAACTTAAGTAACATACATCCTTAAGAGCACATAATTCTAGAATTAATTTAATAGCAAAATCTGCATAGCTGGTTTTTAGAATATTTAGTCTTGTGCTCTTTACTTTCGTTTTCCGGAAATGAGAGTGGAGCAATAAAATCGGTTAATATGTATTTTGTAAGCAATAAACTTACCAAGTATATTACGATCGAAATATTTCCAAAATCGATATTCTTTTTGGTACTTTTCTCTTGAACGAAATACACTCTGGGGTTGTTTTTCAGTGTCAGGGATGGCGCACCGAAATTAAACTAGTACATATTAAAAGCACATAATTAGCACTAAATTATAGTATAAGTGTTTTTTTCATATTATTATTTTTTTGTAATAGGTATTCTAACTTTTTCGAAAGGTAGCATAAAAGTGATTTTTTGCTAAACGGCTGGAGCAATAAAATCGGGACTAAGGCAATAAAAATTTTTATTATAGACGTCAAGAAACGTTTGATCGTAACGTTCGAGAAAGGAGAGGATCACAATAAGAATAGAAGAAGAGAACTTTATTTCTTTTCTACAGTAACATTATTTATTTTACAATCGTACAATGTACAACGAGAAACGCAATTCTTAAGAATTTTTTTGTACTCGCTCAATTAATCTCTAGCTAGATTAATGCAGTTTTGACTATTTAATAGTAGGCAACAAAATAACAGGTAGCAAATTATAATCTCACTCAAAAAATCACGAACAAAGAACATCATCAGTTATTTTATTCTTGCGTAATATAATATTATGGAAGTACATTGATACATGCGTTTAGGTAATGAAACTTACACGTTAACTTATTCAATGCTAGAAAACGCTAGACTCGTCGTATGGCACATGAGAAAATTGAGAAACTTTACAATATTGCTATACCTGAGAAACTTACACGACGTATTTAATGATCTTTATGTTTAATCTCGTGACTCTTAATTCTTAACTGGACTAGTTTTTATTACTAATGTAAAACTCGCCGGATCGATCTATGTTTCCTACAACATTCTCGCATTAAGTTTTTCTAAAATTGCGAGAATTATTCCTGTTGTTATATGAAATGGATTTACGAATAAATGATAAAATCTCGGATTATGTGCATTTCTGGTATAAATATCCAATTTATCAAGTATACCGTGAGCTTCCTGGCTCTATCTCAGCGTATGTTATCTTTATACACGTACATTGCTAGCTTTTATTGCACATTGCATATAATAATTTACGCATGGAATAATGAAAAGTTATTTATGTTGACAGACGTGTGCAAAGTTGAGAGAGAAAATTGTTATTGGTCGAGTCAATCGGTTAACGATCGGGGTTTGGTTCGGTTCGGCCGATTAGACACATTATTTGCAACATGTCTCACGTAGATAATATATTACACAGCTTGAAGTATTTCTGAATATCTTTCAACTTGTTCTCCTTCTCTTTCTCGTTTTAGAAATAATAATCGCTTCTACGCGTAATGGAAACAAGTCTTTGCTATTACATAATACATTTCGGTTGCACCCAACGCGCTTTTTTCTCAGTCCCCTTTGACCTCGCGTTTGTCATACTTGCTTTCAATGAACCGCCGATGATGGTAGCACCGACCAATCTTGCTTAATAAGATCAGCGCCCTTCTCGCCGATCATGATGACAGGAGCGTTTGTGTTGCCGCTGCTTATCGTTGGCATAATGGACGCGTCGACAACTCGAAGACCTGCGATACCATGAACCCGTAATCTCGGATCCACTACTGCGGTAGGATCGCTGTACGGCCCCATCTTGGCGGTGCCTACGGGGTGGTAGATTGTCATGGAGATGTGTCGTATCTGACACTCCCAGTAGGCGTCGGTGCCGAATTTGAGGTGCCTGCATCCCGGCAACTTGACGCGATAAACTCTTGAGCCAAATTGTTTAAAAGCTTTCGCCTCGTTGACTTTCATCGCAATTTTCGCACCCTCCACCAGGACGGCAATGTCCATGGGATCGGAAAAGTAATTCGCGTTTATGATAGGGCTGTGAAAAGGATTGGAGCTCCTCAAGCGTATAGTGCCGCGAGACTTGGGCCTCAGCAAAAGAGGCATCACGGTCCAGGAATCTCGATTGTTAATCGGCCGAAAGACGGTGTTGTACACTTGGTCCGTCAGCCCTAAAACTTTCCGAACTTGCGCCCCCCCGTCGGAATTAATGGAGGCTGGCGCCATGTGGAACTGCACATCCGGATAATCGGCAGAGTGATTGGCATACTTAGTATTTACGAAGGCGTAACCTTCAACGCCACCCAAAGTCGTCATGGGGCCTCTGCCGTTCACCACGTAGTGCATCATCATCGGGACGGGTTGAAAGCGATCCTGAACTATGGCGACTGGCTTATCGATCAAGAATGTCAGACCACCCATGCCTATATGATCCTGAAGATTATCGCCGACCCGAAGATCTTTGACAATAGGAACGCCAACGTGTTGTAGATGCTCCTTCGGTCCGATTCCCGAGAGCATCAAAATTTGAGGGCTGTTGACGGCACCCGCTGACAATATTACCTCCTTGCGCGCTTTCGCTATCTGCCTGTGACCGTTCCTCACGAACTCGACGCCTGTCGCTCGCATAGTCAACGGATCGATCACGATTCTCGTCACGTGACTGTTCATAGCTATATGAATATTCTTACGTAATCGCACGGGCCGTAGAAAAGCCTTCGCGGTGGAGCATCTGCTTCCCTTGCGAATAGTTCCTTGCGATATCATAAACCCCGTCTGCCTTTCGCCATTTATGTCCCTGTTTTCGTACCCCATTTCAACGCCAGCTTGAACAAAAGCGACCACCAAGGGCGTCTTCCACGGCGACTCCTGAATAGTTAGATAACCGCCAGTCGCGTGATAGGGACTCCTCCGCAAGTATGGATTCCGATTGTCCTCCGACTTTTTGAAGTAATGGAGAACTTGGTCGTATCCCCAGCCGGGATTACCCAACGACTCCCAATGATCGTAGTCTTGTTTATTACCGCGCACATACAGCATGTAGTTAAGGCTGCTGCTTCCACCCAAAACCTTACCTCGGGGCCAACTGCAACGGCCGCCCTTCATAGCCAAGCAAGCCTTACCTGTAGCCTCAGTCTTGTACTTCCAATCCAACTTGCTTAACTGTAGGTACGCGGCCAAGGATGGCACATCTGTAATCTCGTTCTCGTCTGGGCCGGCCTCTAGCAACAGCACGTTCCAGTCTGGTATCTCCGAGAGTCGATTGGTAACCACCGCTCCCGCCGATCCGCCCCCGATCACGATGAAATCGTAATCGGAGTAAAGAGGGTATTTATCAATGGGTCGACTCTCGGGATCCAACTGATCGTAACGATAGTAAGAAAGGCTTGCGATTAACAATGGTACGAGCCATAAACCTGTGCCCATCAAGCCGATAGCACCCTTCAAGGCCGACGTTACCACTATCGCGCTGAAAACCATTCTGTCGAAAAAGTAACTCCGCCTTGAGAATTTTGCTTTTTTTTAATCTCGTTGTCTCATTGAACTCCGTACTTGCTTCTCGTAATGGAATACTTGCTGTAACGGAGGCTCTATGCTAATTTTTTCAGTCTCACAAATATTGAAGGACGCGTCGCCGTTTATACCTTTCATGACGCTTCCATATTGCCTCGTTCTGCAACAATACAACAATAATAATAACACTAATAGTAACAATAATGATGATGGTGACAACTACGACGACGACGACAATAGTAAAAAGATGTTGCAACGCACATAAATATTTTTCTCAAAATTTGATTTTAATCTTGCTTTTTTCATATATTGTAGAAATAAGAGAACAAAGTCGTTAATCTCCAATCTGTTTAATTATTTTTGAAGTCGCAACTCAAAAGGATTCAGAATCATCGACTATTGTTATTTATAAAAAAAAAGTGTTGAAATTCATTAAGTAAATATGTAACGTAACTCTGTTCGTAGCGACACGATGTGGAAATAGCAATATACAGGGTGTCTGATGCAAAAGTAGCCACTTTGCAAATAGCGGTAGATTGGGTTAAACTAACAATAAGGAGAAATATCATGTACCGAGGTACAAAGTAACAATAGTTACCGACAAAGAAATTTATACGTTTGAGCGAATGAGGATGCAGGAGACGGTAGGCCGGACTCGGGAGGCATTTAAGAAAATCGATCGATGAGCGGGAGGTGGAGCGACGCGCGAGATACTATGTTTATGTTTTGGGTCGCCCGTTGCTCGCGCTCGCTGCCGCGCTCGCCGCCCGCGCCG